TTTCCCCCCCCCCCCCTACACACACACACATGGGGCATGAAAGGCTTTAGCTCCTTGTGTCCTTAGAGAATTTAATTTAGTAACTTTAATATAGTAATTACCAGTCAATTACAACAAGGTGATTATCAAAATTGATAATCATCGTGTTGTAGCTGATTATATCATTAACTGTTGACTTTATCAAAAAAGATTTCCTAAGGAAGTTGTACATTTTTGAAGAAAGAATTTTTTGGTAAAAACAAAAATGTACGATTCCATTTTAAAAAACTACTGCATCCTCCACGGCATCACCATTTATGATCCTGGACTACAGGCATGTGCCCCCTTATGAACCATGTAACTTTTGTAGGACACATTTTTGAATTGAACAATTAAGTTGGCTGAAAAATTAATGCATACTTTAAAATGGCACACCCTGTGTATAGATAAAAAATATCCCTATTATATCCGTTCCATATTTTTTGTTGCTTTTCTTTTCCTTCATTTTTTTTTACTTTTCCTTCTTATCATAAATTTTTATATTCACACTATTTTTCTCCTGTGCCTAACAGCACGTTAATTTCCCATTGTCCCTCTTGACGATAGCACAGTACAGAATTATCTGGCGTCCTTACTTTCGAGAACGATACCACCCCTGACAACATCACCAGTGGTACTCAGTTATCAGCAATTAATCAAATTCACATTACATCGTATTTGATACAATTCAACACAAATATACACCTCTTTTGTCACAGTTCTGGTCAATCTCTGACTTCTAGTGTGGTATCTCGGCCTTTACGTATGCTATTATCGGTTTGTAGTAACTAAGCAAACCGATTACCGTTCGGGCATGCCCTCTTACTTATGGCTCGCTGTTCGATCAGTTCTAGAATACCCATAAGTTGTTGCTTTCATTAGAACGTTTTGCGACCACTCAAGTCCCCTTACTCACGAAGTGCTAGCCAGATGCTATCCCAAAGTTCCCAGTGACAAGGAGCAAACTAGAAAATATATTTTGATTTTGAAAAAATATGGGATTCTTTATTCAATTCTGCTTCATAACAAAATTTTTTCAATGGAGTTTTCATGAAGTCTATTTTCTTAATTTTTAATACGGCGTTGCAGCGGCGCGCCATGGCCCAGTAGCCGCGGCAGAGGCCACATCGGCTTTACTCATGAAGTAGGGTGTCTATCATTGTATCATAAGTCTTCCGTCCCAAACGATATTATTATCTTTCTCTAAAATTTGTTTTTCATGAAGTAGAGCAATGGAAAGTTTTTTCTTTCGTTATAATTTTAAACCTTTGTATTTGGACATTGCTAGGATGTTCAGAGTTATTATTCGTATTATCCACGGAAAATCCCAGATATTCACATTAACACGTATAAACAAGAGTCAATCTTTATTGAATCCAGCTGCAACACTCGTCTTTTCATTTTTGAGTTTTTTTTTTCCTCAATCCGGGCACGGCCCACTTCTTCACAAACTGACGATAGTCTGGGTTCAACACCGGCGCGCCGTATGAGAGAGGCAGTGGGATGAAGAGCGAACGATGGAGTTTTGGATATGGTTAAGGGCAAGAGTGGAAGCCCCTTGGCCTGAATTGTAGATGCTGTGCCCTGATTCCGTCCTATACCCAGGGGAAGCAGTCGTGGAGGATTTCCCAAATTACTACTTTATCGATTTGTTGAAAGACGCTCGATTTTCAATCCACCTTTTTCCCCATTGCTTTTAGGATTTGAAAATTATTCTTCGACTATAGAAAATGAGACTTTCGGTCTCACAAGATCCAGAACACATCAACGAGTCCAGAAAAAGTTGCAACCAGTTTTTATTTTGATTAAAAAATGTGTTTTCTATGACGCGAATATGAATATTTGTTCGACACTTTAGTCCTAATAAGAGTGAGGTAAATAGTACCGGAAACAGTAATTGATCGAGAACATATCGATCAGCATATCGAATCAGAGCTGAGAAACCGACATACCTTCACCAATTAATAAATTGGGAGTCCTCATTGGAGCTGGTTCAGCTATTCCGCAAAGGCCGAGAACTATATACACAGGGGACATTCAGGTGGGCACAGCACTACACTTCCGGAACAGCCGCAAAAAATCGATATGATTTTCCGGACATAACGCTAGACACGCGAGAATTACACAAGCGAGAACCTTGTATACCGTATCGAAATAAAGCTAGAGAAACTATCAACAGATAGCACGGGATCGCGAACCAGCTCGTGACACCTCGATCGGTGTCCCAAAGCAGATTGCTTTGACAATAGTCACATTCGAGAACAAATCATTCTGATTGGTCGAGATCTTTGTAACTGATAACTCTTATCCTTTCCCACGAATTGTCCCTTGAAACCGAATCGAGAGTGTTCCTTCGTGCATCGATAGCAGGATACGACATCCTCAACTCGAGTCAGCGGGTTCCTTCACTGTTCTTAATCGTATCAAAACTTGACCTTCGCCCGCTCTACAACCCTTTGCCTTTCTTCAGCGAGGCGTCGATATTTTACCCGGACTTCTGCCGGTCCGTGGAGACGTCTTCGTCGGGTACTCTCCTCTGGCGGACAATTCTGTACGTTGAGACTACCTCTCCACGATAGATTCGATCACCTCGACCTCAACTCAACAATAACAAATTTTTTGAGGATAGAAATTTCTGTATCTGACACTTACCGAAATTCAAACGCCTTCGAAGGTTCGTATCCGTGCTAAATCATATTACTATTATAGCCACTACCAAGCTTTCTGTTATACACGATTCACATTATCGCGTCGACTTAACGTGTAGCCGTATTGTTATAAATTCTCCTTGAAAGTTCACCAAGTCTCCGTCTTGATCGACTATACGAAGCTGCAGGTAATCTATCGTCTTGGTAGCGATCGGTAGGTAAATGAGGTGCGATGGCACCTCCATGATCTTGTATTCGGGTGGTACGGCCGGAATGAATTAATGTATGGTACGCACTTTATTTCGTGTAAGCACCCATAGTGACGCTGTATTCAATTCGCAGAGCGTTCACCTTGAGTATGGCTACCGGTACGTCGGGTGTTTGTAGTTTATTAGCTTTCAAAACGCGATGAATAAAGCCCAACAGGTGGCCTATGGAATTATTGGGACGAAAATCGACATCACGGTTACACTTAATTTCACTACTCAACGTATTATTGTTAGGCTTAATATTAATAAGGATATTCTTATCCACAAACGCGCTCTGCACGTAGCTCTGGATAACCTCTATCTCATAACTGCCAGTAGGTTTAGTGATAACTTCATCCTCTACATACAGCTTATTGTGAGCAGTATCCATGTAGGCAATCGAATTAGAGGTCAACAGTTCGATGAGTCCCAAAGTGTAATATTTGTACGTTGAGAGGTCGATAGGAGAAAAGTTTTGTGCTTCGAGTAACGAGGAGATGCCTGATAAGGTTAACGTTAATGAATCTTCCATGATCGTAAACGTTCGACTGACATTGTAGAACTACGCAATGCGTTTATATAAACGATACTTGTTCTTATGATTCAGCTGGTCCACACAAACTTTAGACACAATGTCCGCATGCGAAAATACGATACTCCTGATATCGTTCGTAATTGTATTTTACACTATCAACACCAAAGTATTCGACGAGATTTAGCGGAGGTCGAAGATTGTCAAAACTGCTGAAATAAATGACTCGATCATTCATTTTCTTGTACGCGAACCAGTGTGACCCAGAACCATCCTCGTCGTCGGGATTGACGATTACCGATTGGCACTTGTACGATCCTTCCTTAAACATGGCGTTTCGCATGAATACTCCATGAAAATGTGCAGTCTTCATGGTTTTCGCGTACTTTAGCAAATCCATATCGGTGAACGCTTGGTGTGACAGTCTCACATCACATCAAGTCTTTTGGCTTTAGATGAAGGCGTAATCCTTTTCTGTAGGGTTTTAAGTACAGTCCATTTTCCAGTGCGATGGATTCCATCGTTTTGTTGTGCCGTTGAATTTCCTTCTGTTGTTCCATATTTGCATTCGCATCGTTCACGGCTTTAGTTATACCTACAGCACCGCTGGGCCATACTCCAGCGGCATTGAGACCTGCATACATAGGGACGAGAAATGGCAGGAAGCGTTCAACTTTCAATAGTACAGGTAGAACGCACGGTGTACGGACGTTACGCTTTCAACCTGCTAGTTTGACGACTGCTTGCGCGCCCTTGAGAGCAGATTTGATGGCTACCCACGCATCGTTGCTGGGAATCGTCGATCATTTGGTTTTCTCGATCACTTTCCTCATGGTTACTACCGAGTTTCGACTTGGCACTCATTACGTTCGCTACAGACCAGGCTGCTGCCTTCTCACC